GAGGTGATAGAGAACCAAATAAATGAATACAAAGATAAATGCATACAGTCCATTGAGAAATGAGAGAAGATAATCCTCCCATGAAAGCAGCATAGCATGCTCTGCACATGGAACCTTCAGGTAATAGCAAATACAAAACCAAGATACTTTCTTAAAGGTGGAAAACTCTTGGAGGATAATTTTCGGAAATATATCTAAGTAAGAAGACCAAAGAAGTATTCCCAGGGCAGAGAAGATCACAGATTTAGATAATTAATTACAGAGGCACAACACCCAAAACTGGATTCCAAAGAAATGAGGGGAAATGCTGTACAGAATAGATGTCTACTCACTGTCTCCATGGTCTCTCATCTTTCTTCAGCACAGCATTTTCTAGATTTCTTCCTCAATGCAACCAGATCAAGATCCCTTTATTTCTTTAACAATTTTAATGCATATTTTCCTTTCTTTTCTTTTTGAAATTAATATCACAATGTCAATGCACATTGATGCCTTCATCATAACTCTGCTCTGTTTACAAATCCTCCCTTTTCTTTCTTCTTTTAAATATTTATTTTATTTATTTGAAAGATAGGATTACAGAGGGAGAGAAGGTGAGCCAGAGAGGTCTTCCATCTGCAGGCTCACTCTTCAAATGGCCACAAGGGCTGGGTCTTGATTAGGAAGAAGCTTTGTGCCAAGAGCTTCTTCTAGGTATCCCAAATGTGTGCAGGGGCCATCTTTGCTGCTTCCCCAGGTATATTACAGGGAGTAGGATTGGAAGTGGAGCAGCCGAGACTTAAACTGGTGCCCACATGGGATGCCAGTGTTGCCAGGGATGCAGTGACGCAGTGTTGTTGGTGGCTTACTATGCCACAAAGCCAGCCCCAGTCCTCTTTTCTTGACTTCTCAAATCGTTTTTTTCCTCCTTCACCTCAATAATTTCTATCTCAGTTCATTGACTTATTTAATGAAAACTGGGCTTTCCGGCCGGCGCCGTGGCTCACATGGCTAATCCTCCGCCTGAGGCGCCTACATTCCTTATGGGTGCCAGGTTCTAGTCCCGGTTGCTTCTCTTCCAGTCCAATTCTCTGCTATGGCCCAGGAGGGCAGTGGAGGATGGCCCAAGTGCTTGGGTCCCTGCACCCGCATGGGAGACCGGGAGGAAGTACCCAGCTCCTGGCTTCGGACGGCGCAGTGGCAGCAGTGGTGGCCATTTGGGGAGTGAACCAACAGAAGGAAGACCTTTGGCTCTCTCTCTCACTGTCTGTAACTCTACTTGTCTAATAAATAAAAAAATTATAAAAAAGAAAAAAATGGGCTTTCAAGATTTTTTTTTCAAATTTTGTTTTATTCTTTCATTTTGTTCATTTATAAGGGTGTTTTTTTTTTTTTTTTTTTTTGTCATTCTCCACATAAACTACTCTAGAGTTCATGGCTTCAAAGATGATCCATAATATCCAAAGCTACAGAATCATACTCCACAAAGCATTTCAAATATCAAATTTAAATCATTATCTTTAAACCTCTGTTCCACTTTATTTCTGTGAACAATACGATCTAACCAACTCTATAAAAAAAAGTCCTTGCATCAAATAGATATCTCTACTCACACATTCACTGCAGCATTACTAACAGCAGTAGAGAGATAGAAGCAGTCTACGTGTCCCTCACAAGCAGGAAGCTTGATTGCAAGTGGAATAGCCAAGTCTTGAACTGGCATTCTGATGTGGGATGTGTATCTTTTAAGTGGTGGTATGCCAAAATTGCTCTCGCTTTAATATACTATCTTGTGAAGTTACAGAGCCCATGTGTGATATAGATTCTTGGAATTAAACAACAGGTACAGTTTGGATGCTTTGATGCTGTATGTTGATCAGCTACTGTAGAAAATAGCATTTCCCATTTGATTTGAAATGTCCAAGTAGGGTTTCTGCATATTATGTACTTTGCTTTAATCTAAAGATTAACTTTGAAGATTCTGAATGTGATTGTTGCGTAATTAATGTGACAGTTTATGACTAAAATTTTGATTCTTTTCTAAAGCCAAAGCATTGTGTAAAGTGAAACAATGAATCTCTTAATAATACCAGAATCTTCAAGAAGGCATGCATCATTTGAAACAAATTTGAATTGTAATGAGGTTAGAAAAACAGCTTTTAGAGCATCTAGCTGGAGTCTCTCAATTGAATGGTAGTAAGAGTATGTAAGTAACTGAGAGAGAGAGAGAGAAAGTGATGGAGAAAGAGAGAGAGGAGAGAGAAAGAATGCTCCATCAAGCAGTTCGCTCAATTGCCTGCAACAGCCAGGCCCACTGAAGCCTGGAGCCAAGAACTCAGTATGTTTCCTATGCGGGTGCCAGGGACTTGGGTATTTCAGTCATCACTCTCTGCTGTTGCCAGGGTAAACATTAGCAGGAAGCTTGTATGCAGGACCATGCACTCTGCTATGGGACACGGGTGTCTTCACCAACGTCTTAAATGCTGTATCAAATGCCCTCCCCTTGTTTTGGTTTTAACCTGTGAATCACCTTTCTCATCACATTGGCACAAGTAATTCATCTTCAAATCATGGAGTTGTCTTCAACACTGACAGAAAATTTCAAAAGGTTATGATTCAATTCCATACCTATTACTACTCATTTTGTAATGAAAAGAGAAAATACAGGTATTAGGAAACCATGGATATTAAAGAAAATCATCTGACGAGAAAATATAAAAATTCCATTTTTCCCTTATTTACCAGCACTATTTTCAAACATTAGGTCAGTAGCAATAAATCTGAACAAAAAGAAGGCATCTCAGAAGGTCAATATGTCCTTCTAAACAGGGTAACACATATATCCATATCACATTACAACTCAATAACAATTCCCTACAACGATTTAAACAATTCCCTATAACACCTTAATCATAATGTGACAGGGAACGAATCCATGGTTACAATGAGTGACAGGAAAACAGTGTGTATTCAAATTACTTACAACAAAACTATGAGAAATTTATGGAAAATGGGTCTGATTTCTCAATGAATGAAATTGACATTTTGAGACTTGATGCTGTTTATTGCCCTTGTCTACACTCCTTGTTGAATTCTTTATTTGGTGGAAGGCTAAGCTTGCAATTATAAAATAAACTGATTATGTCATTGCAAACATTTTAGAAAACTAAGAAGAAAAGAAGGAGGGAGTGTAGAAGTGTGGGCAGGAAAGAGAGCAGGGTGGGAAGTATTATACTATTAAATCTGTATATATAAAATAAAGAAAATTCATTAACCTTATATAAGTAAACATTAATAAAATTGAATTCATGAAAGACATTTGTATACATTGTGGAAACATGTCTTACATCTATTATAATTTAATAAAATTATTTTGGAAGCAGAACACAAATATTTCCTGGGGATAAGTACTTTGGAAAGATTCCAAAGTGGCAAATATAACAGAACAAAAGTATTAGTTGGTAAAAAATGCTTTAAGAAAAATCAGGGGCATGAAGTTGTGGGTACATTTGTGTGCACACATAAGTGTTTCAGTAAAGCATAAATAAAGCAAAGACATTACTAAAATATGACACTGTAATATACAGTTATAATTTATAAAGTGATCTTATATAGTTTATTAGTTTTTATATAGCTTGAAGTTGAAAATAAACACATGTGTAGAAAAAGAAGTCAATTGATTTGTATTGTACATGAACAGGCTATTTAAAAATTATGAATAATCCTTGAATTGTAAGTTTCAAATGTTTATTGTTTTAGAAAAAACTTAAATTATTATTATACAAATAAATAGAAATGTTCATGTCACTTTGAAAATAACCATTTTCAAATAGAAAATATGGTAAGCATCTATATTTGTGATATGTAAAATACTTGAAATATTTAGAATTTGAGGTAAAATTATATAATGCATATAGTTTTTTTATATTGTACATATCAAACAATAAATAGAAAAGTTATTAAATTTCTAATGTTAATTCTAAGTGCTTTATCAACAAGTGCATTGTTTCAAATATGTATAGAGCTAAAGTATAAATTTGCATTATCTAAAAACAAGCATTTGCATTCTATTTAGATATTTTTGTTGCTGAATACTTCATTTTTTAAATATTCTACTTATACATTTATAAATTCATTTTGGAAACTTACTTTGAAATATTAATAAAATCTAGAAAACCACAGAAATTAATGGCACCAAAGGTGAAATTAAATAGTATTTAATGCCTTTTACATTTTTTTATTTTCTTAATTTTACATTTATACCCTTCATATTTAATGAATGAGCCTTTACATTATGTACAATGGGTATAATAATCACATAGCTAACTGTACATATGCAGATACACACATTAGGAAATATTTTTAATTATAATAATACCCAATATTTTGCTTTTGATAGAATTTTATCGCATTTTAATGGTTTAAATTTTGTTCTTTAAGAATTCTTAACTATTAGTAGAAAGTTTGATAGACAAAAAACATGATAAATAATAAGCAGCAAACTATTTGCTAACTTAAGTACTGTGCTATTCAGGCATGTGGAAAGTTTCATTCAGAATAACATTTACTAAAAAATGTTACCATTAAACTAAAAATATTTATTTCCTAAATAAATACTGTCTGGAAACTCTGGAAGACAAATTCACTCTTCATAGAGGCTGTTGGTAGAGAGGAAAATACATGATAGATACAAAATAAAGTCCTGGAGAAAGAAAAAGCTACTGAGCCCTACTACCCTTCACTATACTTAAGATCTGGGTTTCTGAGGATGCATTCAGGTTTTGCCACTCAATCTAAGATGCAGAGAAAGATGGTCCCTGCATAGTCTTGCTTTGGGAGAGTCAGCACACCATGAGTTCAAAATATTTAGAAAGTTTTTTTTTTTTTTTTTTTTTTTTTTTTTTTTTTTTTTTTTTGGATGAAGTGCAGACTCGCAAGTTTTCCAAGTACTTTTTGGTCCAATCTATTCATTAAAACAGGATTTATATAAATCAGAATAAGCCTGACTGTCACAGACTTACCTGGGTAGCTTCAAGTCGTAGGATTTCTGAAGATTCTGAAGTTCAAACTTTGTGTGAGATGCAAGAGGAGTTGTAGGAAAGAGCTTTCTTATATCCTCACAGGCTCCTCAGCAAACTTTCCATGCACCACATTGCTCTGAGTTGCAGACACTTGTGCCTTTAGTACCACAACACTGTCAGTATGTCACTGCTTACTGACTGCTATTTTAGGTTC